GGGGGGGGGGGGGGGGGGGGGGGGGGGGGGGGGGGGGGGGGGGGGGCTTGGAGTAAAAAAGGTTGAGAACCGCTGATTTACAAACTATGAGAATTTCATCTTACTTTTTGGCTATAAAAATGACATCTGCATACAATTTGCACTTTATTGCTCTTTGCCATCATATGAAGATTATTTTAAATTGTAATATTTCACAATATTACTGTAATATTGTAATATTTCACAATATTACTGTTTTTACTGTATTTTTGGTCGCATAAATGCAGCCTTGGTGTGCATAAGAGCTTCAAAAGCATTAAAAAAATCTTATTGACCCCCAATTTTTTAAAACAATACAGTAAAATCTCTGGTTTTTATTTAATTTTATTTATTTATTCATTTGGTAAATGTGTATTCGATAAATCCAATAAGTGCTCTTTGTGATAACCTTTTTGTGTGTGTTTAACCCCGGTAGTTTTCCCCCTGTTAAGATATTTATGTTTTGGAGAAACCTATTTGTTTGTAACACTGCAATATAATACACATAAAGCATTCTTTTGGGTTGTGTCTCAATTTCTTTAAATTCAATTCAAGTTTATTTGTATAGCGTTTTTCACGATACAAATCGTTGCAAAGCAACTTTACAGCAAATTTAAGTTTCTACAATATTTAAATGCCTCAAGGCCTCCGCAGCTCTGCATCTTTCTTTTACTGATCATTTCACATACAGCATTAGTATTTTAAGGAACAATTTTTAAAATGCTTTTATGTTTTATTAAATGCTATTTGTGACCTTAACAGACCAGAAGGTGGTAGCAAAACCTTCCTTTTTTTTTTTAGGAATTGGCTGAGTAAAGGACTGTTTTACTAATTGTTAAAGTTTTATAAAAACACTTGCTATTGCTCAAGTATTGTTATTATTTATGTTTTGGAGAAACCTATTTGTTTGTAACACTGCAATATAATACACATAAAGCATTCTTTTGGGTTGTGTCTCAATTTCTTTAAATTCAATTCAAGTTTATTTGTATAGCGTTTTTCACGATACAAATCGTTGCAAAGCAACTTTACAGCAAATTTAAGTTTCTACAATATTTAAATGCCTCAAGGCCTCCGCAGCTCTGCATCTTTCTTTTACTGATCATTTCACATACAGCATTAGTATTTTAAGGAACAATTTTTAAAATGCTTTTGTTTTATTAAATGCTATTTGTGACCTTAACAGACCAGAAGGTGGTAGCAAAACCTTCCTTTTTTTTTTAGGAATTGGCTGAGTAAAGGACTGTTTTACTAATTGTTTAACCCTAGAAATCCTACCGTATCATATTTCATACATGAATTTCTAAGGCCTCTAAATTACCAATGTGATCAAAGTGTTTTGTGCACAATCTTCTACATGCTCCCCTCTTATGGATAGTTCATACATGTTAGCACAGGGTTAAAAAATAGATTAGATTTCGAAATGGGTTAGATTTAGAAATAGTCATCTTGTGTCTCTAAATGCCATTGTACTAAAAAGTATGTATTACCTCTATATCAACATGTACAGTCAAAGGTTTGGTCACAACTAGGCCCACTATTTTACACATTTTAGAATTATTTTCTTTTTAACAGACCAGAAGGTGGTAGCAAAACCTTCCTTTTTTTTTTAGGAATTGGCTGAGTAAAGGACTGTTTTACTAATTGTTTAACCCTAGAAATCCTACCGTATCATATTTCATACATGAATTTCTAAGGCCTCTAAATTACCAATGTGATCAAAGTGTTTTGTGCACAATCTTCTACATGCTCCCCTCTTATGGATAGTTCATACATGTTAGCACATTGTTAAAAAATAGATTAGATTTCGAAATGGGTTAGATTTAGAAATAGTCATCTTGTGTCTCTAAATGCCATTGTACTAAAAAGTATGTATTACCTCTATATCAACATGTACAGTCAAAGGTTTGGTCACAACTAGGCCCCCTATTTTACACATTTTAGAATTATTTATCTACACAATTTAGAATTTTTTTAATTATCCCAGAAACAAATTATTCACAAAGAATAAAGTTAAGCAAAGTAAAAACAAGGTAAAAGTATAAATTCCATTAAAATGCATTATAAATGCATCAATGTACTAAATGCAACATACTTGCTTTTAAATGCATATTCTATTTGCATTCATTGCTGAAGCATCTTTTGAGAAACAAAAAAATCTAGGCGTCTATGAGTATGGTGAAAGATCCAATGGATTACATTTGAAATGTTTGTTTGGATTCTGCAGCTGGAGTTAATACAAATGCTGTGTCACCCCTGTGACCCATAGTAACTAGCCAATATTGCTGCTCTGCTTCTCCTCAAATTCTTCAGAACATTTTGAACATCACGAAATTATTAATTTATGTAAGAATGAAGAATAAACTGCATGGAACCAATTAAAAATGAAAAAGCTGAAAATGTGCACAATGTCAGTGAACATGATATTCTTCTGTACAGAGGAACATTCTTTTATGATGATATTATGTAGTTATGACGTATTATGATGAAAAAATCACATTCTTTATAAATCAAATATTTTGGGGATGAAGAACATGTTTTTATCAGTTTTTGTTCTGATATTCTCCACAGAGCATTTATTTTAGCCAATTATGTGGCAGGAATGCTCGATTCTGACTGGTCAATCGTGGCATTTAGTGGACTAAAGTGGACTTGCATTCAAGTCGAAAGAACAGTTTTTAAAGGTAGCTACATTAAAGCAGTTAAAGGAGACATATTATGCCCATTTGTCCCCAGTATGTGTCTGTGAAGTTTCAGCTCAAATACTCAACAAATCATTTATTATATCATTTTGAAAATGCCTATTTTGAGTGGAAGCAGAAACAGCTGTTTTCGTGCCTGTCTCTTTAAATGCAAATGAGCTGCTGCTCCCCGCCCCCTTTTACAGAATAGAGCTGCGCCGCTCTACAGCTCGGACCAGCTAAAAACACGTTTTTGGTTCTGATTATCATGTTTATTGCGCTGAAATCATGCGTTTTAAACCATATGAGTTTAAACTTCTGATATATGGTTTTCTGAGCGCACACATCTAAAGCACACGGACAGAAAGCGGCTGTCACAGCATGTGAGTACTAAACTAAGTTCTCATTCACACAAGTTAAAAACACACGAGTTACAAAATCAGTGGGTTATGTCTGTGAAGGTAAATAGCTGGGAAATAAATCGCATGTTTATTTTAGATCTGTGTGGCAGCAGCAATATACAGTAAATAAATCAATAAATCCACTTCTGTCTTGTCTCCTCTGAGGCTGGAACTCTAAATAGTGTTCTGTGCTCGTCTGTGCAGCCAAAGACAGAACACTTGGCATGTTCTGCTCAAACTTTTGCCATGGCATTAGAACTGGTACGTTGTCGCTTGTGAAAACACAATAAGGGCGCCATGGGAGTAAACGTACAGATTAAGGGGCGGTAATATTATAATGAGATCCCTTTGCCACGTCACTAAGGGAGCGAAATCAGACGCTTGCAGAAAAAGGCTTCCCAAAACAAAGTTACTGGGTTAATCTTTTTCATGTTTCCTTGGTTGATAGATGCACTGGGGACCTGATTAAAGCACTTAAAACCTGGAAAAGTCAGATTTTCATGATATGTCACCTTTAAAGGTACATGAACGCAACGACAAGTCATAATTAAGAGTGGGAAATAGCTGGTTTGCGGGATGGTTTAGAGGGCTTTTGACCACCAACCAGCTAAAACCAGCTGAACACTAGCTTAGCCAGGCTGGGAGACCAGCTTAAATTTTGGTAGCAGTCATGGCCTAATGGTTAGAGAGTCGGACTTGTAACCAGAAGGTCACAGGTCCGAGTCTCAGTACCAGCTGGAAATGTAGGTGGGGGGAGTGAATGTACAGCGCTCTCTTCCACCCTCAATACCACGACTGAGGTGAGACCTTTGAGCAAGGCACTGAACCCCCAACTGCTCCCCGGGTGCTGCAGCAAAAATGGCTGCCCACTGCTCCGGATGTGTTTTCACGGTGTGTGTGTTTCACTACTCACTGCTGTGTGTGTGTGTATGTGCATTTGGATGGGATAAATGCAGAGCACAAATTCAGAGTATGGGACACCATGCTTGACCACACCTAACGTCACTTTCAGTTTAAACCAACTAAGACCAGCAAACCAACATGGGCTGGTTTTACCTTTGTTTGTTTTCAGCAGGCAGTCCAACTGCTCCCCGGGTGCTGCAGCAAAAATGGCTGCCCACTGCTCCGGATGTGTTTTCACGGTGTGTGTGTTTCACTACTCACTGCTGTGTGTGTGTGTGTGTGTGTGTGTGCATTTGGATGGGATAAATGCAGAGCATAAATTCAGAGTATGGGACACCATGCTTGGACTAGCTTAGCCAGGCTGGGAGACCAGCTTAAATTTTGGTAGCAGTCATGGCCTAATGGTTAGAGAGTCGGACTTGTAACCAGAAGGTCACAGGTCCGAGTCTCAGTACCAGCTGGAAATGTAGGTGGGGGGAGTGAATGTACAGCGCTCTCTTCCACCCTCAATACCACGACTGAGGTGAGACCTTTGAGCAAGGCACTGAACCCCCAACTGCTCCCCGGGTGCTGCAGCAAAAATGGCTGCCCACTGCTCCGGATGTGTTTTCACGGTGTGTGTGTTTCACTACTCACTGCTGTGTGTGTGTGTATGTGCATTTGGATGGGATAAATGCAGAGCACAAATTCAGAGTATGGGACACCATGCTTGACCACACCTAACGTCACTTTCAGTTTAAACCAACTAAGACCAGCAAACCAACATGGGCTGGTTTTACCTTTGTTTGTTTTCAGCAGGCAGTGAGAAAACAGGCACAATGGATGCAGCATCTGTATTGATGGTAAATTTGTTGGAATTAATTTTATATTTTTTTGTAATTTACATAAAACTATCAAAAAGTTGCATCTAAAAAAATATGATAGCTATACAACTACGACAGAATATATGATTCAATTTACAGCACCTTCATCAAATTGAATATAAACATAAAAAATACATTCATGCACACTCACCATTTTGTAGAAGTAGTGTTTATTTATTATTATTATTATTTAAAAAAAAAAATTATTACAATAGACAGGGCCGTCCGTAGCTGACGCGGGGCCTGGTGCGAGGTAGGGAGCGGGGCACCCCTCGGTCCATTCGCAATCGCGTTCTGTGGGGGGTGGGAGTGGTTGGCCGTTCGCCGTGGGGCCCCCTCAAGCGCGGGGGCCTGGTGCGACCGCACCAGTTGTACCCCTCTAAGGACGGCCCTGACAATAGAAAAGATGCATCGCCATCTGACCAAAGTAACTTGAAGGCACCTGACGGACATGCCAACTCGTAAATACGAACTTCAGGAGGACTTGAACATACCATTAGCCTATATTCACTGTTCTCTTTGGCAATGATGTTTATCAAGGTGTTTTCAAGTCATGTGGGAAAGGTTGTATTTATTAAACGAACATGAACGTCACAAAGTCATAACGTTACACACAAAGTCATAATTAGCCTATGAGTAGAAACTCTTCTTTATTCATAATTTTGTAAATGTAGAGTTAAGAAAATCTTGTTAAATATTATGCACAAGAGATATCTTGCATCTGTATCTCTCGTATCACTCCGCGGACTTGTTCTTTTCCCATTTGTTTCGTATAAACCCAACTATCGACATCTTGCATCTTAGCTTTTATTTCAGTTAGAATTTTACTGTTCTGGTCAAAATACTGCCTTATGTTTTCACTAATTTTTCCCTGTAAATGTGTACATATTTTGCAAAGGAGCAGATTGTGCATAGCTCCACAGGCTAGTAAACATATGCTCTTCATTTTGCTCAGATGGAAAAAGTGCTGGTCTCTTGGGACTGTGAATGAGAATTCAACGAGATATCCACTTCTTGTTGCTCTCTCATACGTGCCAACCTCCTTCCCCTTTCTCCAAAGTCTTTGGCACACTTCAATACATGCTGTCTGAAGGAGGAGCCGACGAAAGTGTACAGAACAGGATTTAGACAGCAGTGTGTCAATGCCAGGCTCTCTGTGACCTGAGTAGCCTTGTCCAGCTCTTTACTAACCCCGCAGTGAGTCACAAACGTGTACATGACGTCCATAGCCCGGCAGAACTTGACCACATTATAGGGCAGCTGCGTGACCACAAAGACGCCCACCATCGCCAGCAGCACACGGATGGACCTCCACTTCCTCCACCTCCTCTCCTGAGGGAGCTTCAGTAGGGTTCGGCCTACACAAGTGTAGCAGAACAACATCACTAATAAAGGTAGCAAGAAGCCTATTACGACCTCCACCACTTCCAAACTAGCTTTAGCCCTGAGCGCCATGTCCGATTGATACATTGCGATGCAGCTTTTTTTATGAGGAAGCTCTCTGACTGTTGAAAACACCAAATCAGGGACGCCAAGAAAAAACGCAATGGTCCAGACAACCAAACAGAGTTTTACACAATGCTTCTTTTGAAAAGCACGCATAATGCCTGTGTTTCTGGCTCCTGGTGTCAAAGCCAAGTACTGATCCATGCTGATGTGGGCCAGCAGCATCATGCTACAGGTGAAGTTGATGGTGTACAGGGCAGATACGAGTTTACAGACGGTGACCCCGAGCTCCCACCCGTGGACGGCATCGGCAGCCCAGAAGGGCAACGTTAGGAGCAGCAAAAGGTCGGCCACAGCCAGGTGAAGTATAAACGTGTCAGTCATCGTTTTCAGTTGCTTGCAGTATGCATACACCGCCACAACCAGAGCGTTGCCTGCTAAACCAATCACTAGAGATAACACAAAAACAGCTGGGAGGAAGATCCTCGCGAAGGAGCGCACGTCGCCCTTCTCACAGATGGTCTGATAGTCATCGTAGCTGAAGTTGGAGCTGTTGTTTTCATACTCGGGGTAGTCGTAATAGTGTTCCTCTGAGGTCTCCATTCTTCTTCTAAAGCTCTGAAAATAAAAACAATGGTTTGTTTGGAAGCTTTTAGTTTTTTATATGCAAAAAGACATGGAAATGATCAAGCATTCTCAGATTTACAGATAAAGAGTTGATCTTTTTTTCTTCAACAAAAGCAGAGAGAAAGCATATGGCTACCAGACAGGATGTTTTATTGCCACAGGCGTGTAACAGCACTTTCATTCCGAACATTCCCTCTCTGCTTTTATCAGATGCCTTTTTCTATGCATGCTTAAAATCACAGATAAACCGAAAGTAGAGATGCATATCAGTTAAACATTGTAAATCCTTTCCAGGTTTCCTGTGTAATCCAACATTTGCTTAAACAAGTCATAAACTTGTATAAACTCCCTCTTCCAGAGAAGTGCAATGTTTTATAAATATATTTTTTAAATAAATAAACAGTCAATGCATTTTTTATACTTTCAAATCTTATTAAGCACTCATTCCAGCAAAAAAATAATAAAATCACTTTTTTTTTCACAAATCAAAAAGCTTTGATATCATACTATAAATTATTCAAAGACTTTAAATGAGTATCATTTCAGTCATACTTGAACCCAAACATGTTATTTTCAGCCATTTGAATCACTATATACATTTAACATTAATTTGATAAGTTAAAAACCAAACGTTGCTATGATTATTTTCAAATAGCAGACATGCACATTTGAATACAGTTCATGGTAGTTTATCTTAATGTTCGCATTAGACGTAATTGCATATTTTCTGTTCAAGACTTATCTCCCAAACAGTGTGCAAATTCGGCAGCTAACATCTGGATCATATTAATGTCTAACTAAAAAGAAAATAATCTTCTAAAACCGATAATGCCATGCTTTTCTTACCTTGAAAGATTCAGGGTTTTGCCTGAAGGCAGAGTAGATTGTTTCTGTCTGCTCTTCCTGTGAGAACAGAGTCTGTTTACTGTGACTCATGCATGCAGAGCTTTGCTCCCACACCTAAACATACTGTGAACGTATCTGATCTCGTGTGGTTCCAGCAAGAGTCTACAAACATGCCTTTTAAAAAAAAGATGATCAGAGAGCAGCACATGACATAAATGTAATGCACTGCCACAACTTATTTATTTGAAGCAAGGTTTCTTTGAGTATTTATTTATTTATTTAAAATAATTTGTGCACACAATTTATTTGATTTAAAACTGGTTTTATGTTATGTAATGTTATGTTATGTTTTGCTTTAGTATATGGTCTGGGTAATTGCAAATTTTACATTTTAGAAAAAAGTGCTGTTCACTTTGTAGTCTAACAACTGCACTACTTACATTGTACGTAAGTGCAAATCGTTGTTTTTGCATGGTTGCTTGTGGTTACTTTTTGGGTCTCAGTGTGAAGGCAATGGTAATACTGGCCTTGTGTGATCTCAAACTAAATGTTCCAGAACTTAAGATGCTTAAATAACAACAAAATGAAACATGCAAAAATGTTATGCTATTATCAATGATTATGCAGATAAGGAAGAACGGGTGTTGCTTTTCTATTTACTTTTGACCACTAATGTGTTGACAAATTCCTGGCACAAAACATAGGCCTACCATTTTGTATGCCTTTTCAGGCTAACAACATTTCTGGCACATTAAACTGGCAGAACTACTCAAATACAAAAGAGGACTAATAGTTGTGCAGTTTGTATCCTACAGAATCTATCAACACACACAGACTATTTAAGCTTGACAATATCAACATGTCAGTTCCTTCACAAAAAAGGCATTACAGCCAAAACTTTATAGAAAGCCTACATATAAAATCTACAGTGTTTTGCACTGGCTCCACACAATAAAAGAGTGATTTTTAAACACAACTGCTTTATTGTAATTAAGAGATGAAGATAAACAGATATCAAACATTTTGTTTTAACAGAAGCCAAGCTGGTTCGAGCGCCTATCGCTTGTGTAAATATTGCCCCCTAGTGATGCCAATACGAATTACACTGGGGGAGAATTCGGTAAATTCCTTTTATTTTCCATACAGGTTATTACTTAAAATATACTTGGAAAAGAAAAGCTATAGAAATATAAATGATTATCACATGCATAACCTGAGCCTGACACACTCTTTATGAAACATGGTGATGTATTTATTTGCAATTCCTATTTTTCCTAATTCAGGTAACCTGTAAGGAGAAAACATACAATAATGTCTGTTAAGCCACCTAGTACAATTTTTTCCCCCTTCATATTATGTAAATAGTAAATACGCTGCAATATGTTACCTCAGAAGGAGCCTTGAACATGTACAATGCTTTAACTTTCTGGCAAGGGCCTTTTTCCTCCGGCATCTCTCTTGGCTTTGGCAGTCTGTTGGGGCAGCTTTAATTGAGGGAGGCAAATGATGAGTTCACAGTAAAGCAATTCAGTCTATTTCTTAAATAAAAATAACTATTAATGTGTTTAAATGACATGCTGACAGGCTGATCAGAGAATAGTGATTACCTGGAAAACTCCACTGATTGCTAAAAGGCTCTGACTCCCGGGACGTTTTTTCTGTTTGTTATTCCTGTTTTTGTCCTGGCTCTTGGTGCAGCGATAGACGTTGAACCGAGAAAACCAAATGATGAATTCAGTGTAAAGCAAGTCGATATATATTTAGATTAGAAAATCATGTAACTGGTGAAGCATGTACTCAACATTTTTCTCTATTTACAGTATATATATCCTATGTATTATTTCACCATTTATTTTTAATGAACTGACAGAGGACAGTGAATACCGTTGAATCTCCACTGTCTCCTAAAGGAGTAAGACCTCCTGGACGTGGCCGTTTTCTCTTAGCCTTGCTGTTCTCCTTCAGATCAATAAAAAAGATTGAAAACATGACATTTCTGGTGACACATTTTATATGACCATCTCTGCATTGTGAAACAATTATGAGGACAGATACAGCTGCAAACTGCAGATTATATTTTTGGCAGATGAAATCTTTAAGTAGTTATTTTGTAACATGCAGTACTACTGCCATTTTAATAGTTATCAAAGAGAGAGCTTAATTATGGCTTGATTATCATCCAAACCACGTAGGGTTATTACATTTTGAAAAAGCTGCAGCTGGAAAAAACATCTCAGGAGATTGCGCAAAGGTTACTTTATTAGATGTGTACTTACACTTGGTGGCACAACAGCTACTGTCTTTGCTGTATTTTCCTTCTCTGTGGAGACCGTCTGTCTTCGTACTCTGTACATCTTGCAAAAGGATTGTTAAAAGATAAATGACTCAAAGTAAGCAAAACTCTCACACAAACATATAACAACATAAATAAAAACCAACATATAAAAGCAATTTATCATTTTGCAAAAACTATATATGAATTACATTTAGGGAAATCCATGCCAAAAGAAAGATGCCTGTTGAAACTGCATTCTTGCCCCAGTGTGATTTACCAGTAAATGTACTACCAGCAAAGTTTATCCCTCACCTCAAACTGATGAAGATCCGGCTCATCAAACTTAATTGGGTTTTGCATGCTTGAATCTGTCTCGACTTCTTCTTCTCCATGAAGACTGAAGATGAGCAGGCTGAGACACAACAGCCCTAGCTGCACACTACTCTTCATACTGCTGCTTTCTGTAGTCCAAGCACACTTCATCTCTGCTTTATACTCACATTTAATCACTACCAGATGTCTAAAAAGGGGGCAGTAACACATTTTTCCTGACAAAAACATTTTGAAACACACTTACAAGCTTGAACAACAAATCTGCTGCTGTCTAATACTGGGACATGATTAATCATCAATGATTTGTATAGCCGAGGGGCCATACAGTATCTCATAAGGCTCTTATTATTGTGTTTTGTCATCCAGCTTTCGGTTTTGCTATTGATCTATGCCTTTGTTTGCAGGAAAACAGATGATAGCCATTGCATAATTATTTTTTCCTGAATCGAGAGAAAACAATTGAAAATGATCTTGAAATAAAAGAATATCTTTCTGTTTCTCTTTGAGGACTAAGAAAGAGCGAGATGGAGAAAAAGTCAGGGTACTTTGGCCTTTCTGTGGCATTGTTTCAAACCAGCTGACTGGACCTACATGTGACTAAGCTTAAGTCTGAAAATGCTGGAACATTCACTTGCCTTACAGTCTGAATATGCAGATCAGTGACATGGACAGAGGACAGATAGTGACATTGCAAAGTTAAAGATGGTGTTTAAGTGTGTGTGGGACTGGGATTAGCGTCAACCTGAACAGAATCATAAGAAGTCCCTGATGAAACCAGATGGTTTGCGGGTTTTAGCTGGTCTCCCAGTCTGACCAGCAAACAAGTGCTCAAAACCCACTGTCAACACAAACCAGCTAAGACCAAAAACAAGGCTGGTTTAAACTGGTTTTCACTTTGATTAACTGTGAAGATGTTAAATAATTTCTAAATTATTTTTAGAGGTGCTAAATAATTTTGATCTGTGTTTTACTATCTGGGTGGGTCTCTTAATAGGTCATTTTTGTTGGTTGTTACCTATTGTACAACAACATGTTGAGATGTTGAGAAAAAAGGTGATCTAAGAAGGCAACAAAGAATGCAAAATGGCAAGGCAGCATGTAACAGACAAAACAATTGAACTCTTGTTCTGTGAAAACCCTTTCCCTAACTAGACCAGCCTTTTAAAAATTGGTTGTAAATATCTCATTATGCTATATTATCAGCGAATCTTGGATTCAGTCTTTTCTGTCAACATGTTTTCTTTCTAGCACAGGTTTTGTGTTCCTGATTGTTGTCCAGCAGAATTTTTTTGATAAATCCTCCAAAAAGTACAAAAATTATCCAATGCAATAACATTAATAGCATTTTCGGGAAAAAGAAAATCCTCTCCAGGTCAGCCAAAAAGTAAATAAATAGGCCTACTTGTTTTATGTCATCATTATTCTGTATATTAAAAATGTAAAGTGTTTGAATGAATCCAAATCAGTGTCTGTCTTTTAATAAATGTGACTTTTTTATTCATTATGTATTTTTTTATTTTTTACAGCTAACAAGCAACTGTGGCTAAATCAGCAGCAACGTATAAATCTTACATTCCCTTCATTCTCAGTATGGTATCATTGCTCAGCACGTCCAGAAGTGGATTAGCAGCACTGTTGCAGCATTGCAGCGCTGCTTGTACCGGAGCTTGGCAGATTTCTGGTCTCGTGGTCGTAAATGGCATGAGACCACAGCAGGTACACGCGGAACCACGCGTTCAGTTCCGAGCGTTTCTCTTCAGAGATTCTTGATTGTTTTGTCAAACTTGTCAAAAGGTTAACTTCGAACATTCCCGAAAGACACGGAAAGTCGACCGTGTTGATTTGAAGCGGTCTGCGGACATTCATAATGAGTTTGTCTGCAAATCTTGACAGCTTGGCAGTCGCTGGTCGAAAAGAGCTGACGTAAGCGACTGAGGTGAAGACGCGAAGGTAAGTGCCGCATCTAAACGAGTTCTTCTCAATGTATCAATTGTATGTCTCTAGTATGGCTTATTTGTTGATTATTTTAGTCCAATTATATATAAATGTGATTGCATGATTAATCAGAGCATAAAATATTTATTTTGACGTTGAGCTGTCTCATGTTAGAATAGCCCGACTTCTTCTGTTATGAAAGAGGTTGTTATCCAAACTCAGTATGAATAACTTGTGTGTGAACATATTGTAGCCTTTCTTTCTTTCTTTCTTTCTTTCTTTCTTTCTTTCTTTGTGGAGATGTGACGGGTTCAGTCACCATTCACTTACACTGTATGGGAAGAGATGCATCGAAAGTGAATGGTGACTTGAGGCTGTGGTGAGTAAATGATGACAAGTAGAACTGTCCCTTTAATGCATTGCCACCTTCTGACAGATGAATTGTAGTCATACCTCATGGGCAAAAGCTCTGTGTTTGCTTTCACTGTTTGCTCAGCAGATGGTTTTGAGGTTGCTGAGAAAGATCTGTTAGTTTTACAGTGTGCCTGCAAAAGCCTAGGTTTGTTTTGTTAAACTGTTGGGGACATTATATATACATTTTTATTTTTAGCCTATATGTTCAGATTTCATTTTGTTTTAGGTTTTAGTACTTTTATTTTATTTTGTAATTTTTGTTAGTTTATATTATTTCTGTTTAGCTTAAATTTATTTTTGTTTCAGTATAGTAATTGTTTTATTTCAGTTGGTTGACATGGCAAGTTTTTCATCCAATATATTATTTTATTTCAACTTTATTTCAGTTAGTGAATTTAATTTTTTAGTTTTAGTGACAATAACAACATTTGGGGACTTATCTTTCAGACAAAAAAAGTGTTTAAGGCAAGGTCACAACCCAAGGCATGTGGTACCATAGAAAATTTCATGTATTCTTTATATGTCATGTAAGAATTATCAAACTTCTAGAGAAGTGAATAAAAATGACATTGTTGTGGTTTTGAATCTCAGGGCCCTTATTTCAGCTAAAGGCAGATTTAACAGTCTTATGCAAGAGGATTTACTTTGGACTTTTGCAATACACTGTTGATTTCATAATGAAATATTGTTATAATTACAAGATTGTTTTGTCATTAGATTTACCTTCCAGCTTCCATTATACAGTTGAAAACTGAGTTTGCCAAAGCATTAAAAGATCCTGGTTAGAGTATGAAATAAAAAATAAAAAAAACCTCATAAAGTGAAACTGTAACTTTGTCTGTTACTTCAAGCACATTATGAAGCCAGCGGTGCAGCTGGTGCCAAGCTTTTGATATATTAAATGACTCCGTTCTGCTTCTTTTACTGTCCTTAGCTAACAGCTGGGACAGGGCAGGTATCTTATTAGCTCTGCAGAGGTGAAGGATGGGGCGTAAACTGGATCTCTCTGGTCTGACGGATGTGGAGGCTGACCATGTGATGCAGGTGGTGCAACGGGACATGGAGCTGCGCAAGACTGAGGAGATGCGGCTCAAGTGAGTCTCGTGCACCCTTCTGTGTCTTAGTAGTCTTGTGACTCCTGCTCAAAATACACTGCTGTTCTAAAATTTGGGGTCAGTAAGATTTTTGCTTTTTTTCAGCAAGGATACATTAAATTAATTAAAAGTGACAGTAAAGATATTTACGTTGTTATAAAAAACGATTTTCTATAAATGGTGTTTCTTTTCATCAAATTTCTATTAATCAAAGATCCTGAAAAACCTGCAAAAATGCTTCATGGTTTCCACAAATAAATTAAGCAATATGAGTATTTACAAAACTGATAAAAATAATAAGAAATGTTACTTGACAGGGCTCTATGGATACTTTTCTTTTTAGGAGTGCTTGTGCTCCTAATTAAAAAAATTTAGGAGCACGGTCAAAAATTTAGGAGCACCTTCTAATCAGTAATAAAAAATTCTGATAAAAAATGAACCTTCCCATTATGAGGTGATAGTTGACTCCTTAAAGTGATTTATAGGGAATTTTGTTTTTACCTTTGTAATGGCATTTTTCTAACTTTATTAAAAGTATGTCATCTTTTGTCAAAATCAAAAAATATATTTATAAGCTTTTTAACATTTCTAATTAAAACAAAAGAATAAAAACAAGTAGAATAAGAATAAGTTACCAATCAAATGAAATCAGTATTTAAGAAATGCATTTGTGCTACAGAGATGGCACAGAAGAACACACAAGTGGCTTTTCAGACGTTTAATGAGGCTCAGAGGTCGCATGAGTGCAATTAAATTAATAAATTCATGTTGAGGTTAATGTTTTAAATATAATATTTTGAATATAGAAATGATTTAAATAACAGAAAATATGCTTTAAAAATTAAACTAAAACTGCTAGCAGGTGGCATCAAGTCATTTGATTGACAATTGATTTGTTCGAACGGCTGAATCATTCAGGAATGAAGTATTTGACTGTCTTTATGAATGGGTAATTGAATCATTGACTCACTAGATTTGTTTAAAAACGCAGTCATTCATAAACGAATCAGCGCTGTGTTTGCATGGAGATGGGCAGCGGCTCAGCTGTTACTTTAAAAAAAAACTATTTTCGGATGTACGAGACTCGAACCCACAACCTTTAAAAAAAAAAAAACGATTTTCGTTGATGAAATAGAGCAAAATAAGGCAATTGAGTTGTTGTCAGACAATATAAGTCACTTAAGTGACGTGACATGTGGCCAAGTATGGTGACCCATACTCGGAATTAGTGCTCTGCATTTACCCATCCAAAGTGCACACACACAGCAGTGAACACACACAAACCGTGAACACACATCCGGAGCAGTGGGCAGCCATTTTTTTGCTGCGGCGCCCGGGGAGCAGTTGGGGCTTCGGTGCCTTGCTCAAGGGCACCTCAGTCGTGGTATTGAAGGTGGGAGAGAGCGCTGTACATTCACTCCCCCCACCTACAATCCCTGCCGGTACGAGACTCGAACCCACAACCTTTGGGTTATGAGTCCGAGTCTATAACCATTAGGCCACGACTTCCCCCGACTTAATATTAACTTCTTGTTTAATTAACTGTTGTATTAAATCAATATCACATTTGCAAACTCCCTTAATAATCATTAAAAGCTGTCACTCATCTTAATTTATCCAGATCTCACAAAACTCCATTATAATCGACGAAGCTCTCTACACTGCACAATGAATATCTTATTTACACCCCATCAACACTTTGTTT